GCGCGCGTGTGTGTGTGTGTGTGTGTGTGTGTGTGTGTGTGTGTGTGTGTGAGGTCACACTTAAAACTGTAAGAATGTCACTGCATTAAAAACAAAATATAAAACCATGTGGCATCTGCAACAAAAAAAAAAATAGATTTTTTACATTTGCCAGACCCTTTATCAGAAGTTAATTAAATCACATTATAGTGCATAAACTGTTACACAGCTACACAAACACTAAATGATGCAAGACATTTTCTCACAACTGATTTGACCTTTCTGAGCCATTTTTACAATATTTACATTCAGCTGGTGTAAAAGCATTTTAGTGGATGTATAAAGTCAGTTGCCCTCAAGTTCACACTAGACTATATATCACGGTAATGGATATGCACGATATTGTTATCGTAGGCACTTCTAAATACCGGGAATAATTATATATTACAAATTATTCAGAATTTTGAATGCATTTTAAGAATACTTTTCCCATCAACTGGTCCAAATGCACAACACCTCTGTATGCAGGGTGAAAGACCCGTGCTCACTCTGATGTAAACAAGCGCGGACGAGAAACACATGGCGTATACCGTGATAAAAGCATTAGCAATTAATCGCAACATGAAAATTTTATACCGGCATATCCCTAGTTCACACAGGTGTGTAGTTCAGTTCTGTAAACTAAGAACATGATCCACTGATGTTTGACAATAACACATTTTTTGTTCATTTCATTAATGTATTGCTTTATAACTGAAACCCTAACAAAAATATAGATTTTTGTGAACTGTTTTGCTTTAAAAAAGCATGCTTGTGTCATCTGTCTTTAAAATAAATGATACTAGGTTTGATATGTTGCTACATAAAGCAAAGACATTCATATATTTTAAGCATTTGTGTCCGTATACTTTTCAAGCCAGTTATTTAGATAGATTTAAATGTTAAGCTGTACTATAATATGCACAGAAAACACTATAATGAAGCTTTCAGACAAAGTAAATAAGGCAGAATGCAAATACTTTTTTCCAGAGACATTTTGCCAACTCAGCAGCCCGGTACAACCCTAAGAAGATGAAACCTGAGCACCAAAAGCTGCTTCCAGCTGAAAACATGCCAAGCATCATAGGTTAAAACAACCAGCAGGGCCTCAGTGCCCAAAATCCACTCAGTTACAGCAGATACAAGTCCTATCCACAAACCTAAATATCTTAAAGCAGAGATAAAGGTGACAGATCCAGTAATGCAAGACATCCACTTCAATCAGTCTTTGTTCATCTCTGAACTGCTGACACACCCTTGAAAGCATCCCAGCAGCCCTCCAGAGAGATCACACAATGGAGAGAGCCAATCACAGAAAGACCCTCAGCCAAATATTGACCGAGCAAGGTTCATCCCCTCTCCCAGCCACAATACACAACACACAAAGACCAGAGAAGATAACCCATTCATAACAGATAATCCAAATACAATCCATAAAATCCATTTACAATAACATCATTCTTCACACTCATTAGAATATGCTGACTCACCTTATGCCAGCCAGAGATCCCTGTGAGTTGGGTTTCAAAAGTCTGTCTATCTTTGTGCTGTTGATACTCCACTCACGCTGTCACTTAGACTAGGTATTAAAAAGCCGGCCAGCGCTCTGCCGGTCACTCCAGGCGCTTATGAATAATGCAGGAGGAAGTGTGAGGCCCCGCCTCTTTTTGGAGTGACACCCAATGCACACACATGCTGTGAATCCTAGTATGGCAGAGCTTCACTCATGAAAATTAATGAAATCTGACGTTCGTACTGAAGCCTGCTGAAGGGTCCAGCCCGTAAGTGATTAATATTAATGTGCCATGCCTTCTTCGATCAAGGTTGGGTATTAGCATACAAGAATTTGCTAAGCATTGTACTTATAACTAACTAACTACACAAACAAACAAATAAATAAAAGTTCTGTATAAATTATAGTGAAAATTCACTGGGCTGGAAGCACATATGGATTTCACATCAGAGTGAAGAAAACAGCACTACACCAATCCCTAAATATAGTAATATATAAATGGAGTTCTTATAATAGATATGATTTTCAACCTTTTTAAAGCCAACAACCCCTTAGAGAGAGTGTGTGCATGGAATGACTGTTTGTTTGAAATTAAGTACTACATTTTTATGAGTAAAATTGACTGGCCTTAAAGGCACAATATGTAAGATTTTTTAATTAAAATATCCAAAAACTACTACAACAGTTAGTTATATATTTTGCTGACTTGTGTACTTACATTATCCCAAATGTTTCGAAGAATGTTTAAATGCAGAGAAATAAGCAATTTTAACTAGTGACACGGAGCGTGTCTATAGTGTCATAGTGTCGCCTGCCAATGACGTCATAACCCCTCGACTACTACGTTAATAAATCATTAGCTCATCCATGAACATGATTTCTGCCCGAGTCCCGTCGGATTGCATCGGCTGTGAGGATGAAGACCACAACTCCCATGATTCCACACTCAGTCACGGCATCATCAAACTACGCTTTTGTTTCTTTGTTTGTTTTGAATACGCACCCTCTAAAACGTGGCGAAAACGTACATATTGTGCCTTTAAATAACGTAAGTATAAGTTAAGTATATTAACTTTAAAATGTTTACTTTGAAATATGATTATTTAGCAATATGAACATCACAGATTTTTTTGTTTAAATGTTTTGTAAACCAATTATAATATTATATATATTCAAATATAATTATATATATATTGGTTTACAATCTAAACAGTCAGAAATTGATGTAACATCAGGGGAAAATATTGGTCACTGAAAGAAGACTAGCCTAGCCTAGACTAGACTGAATGATAAGCCACAGCCATATCACCCTGCAGCCCAAGACTGGTTGCCCATGGAAGCTAAGCAGGGTTGAGTCTGGTCAGTACCTGGATGGGAGACCTCTTGGGAAAACTAGGTTGCTGTTGGAAAAGGTGTTAGTGAGACCAGCAGGGGGTGCTCACCCTGTGGTCTGTTTGGGTCCTAATGCCCCAGTGTAGTGATGGGGACACTATACTCTCAAAAAGCACCGTCTTTCGGATGAGACATTAAACCAGGGCTGTCCAAACTTGGTCCTGGAGGGCCAGTGTCCTGCAGAGTTTAGCTCCAACTTGCCTCAACACACCTGACTGGAAG